CCTCCCTCCCTCCCTCCCTCACTCACTCACTCACTCACTCACTCACTCACTCACTCACCCACCCACTCACTCTCGATCCTATTACAGTCTCGTAAACTGGAATGTCTCTCCCTTGCCTGTTTATCCATATCATGGGACTTATTATTATTCTTTTGCTCGTCTTCTTTTTCCCCTTTTCCTCCTGGGAACTATTTAAGGTAAACTGAATGAGCAAAACATTGGCAAGCTGTTCAGTTATAGGCCTACTAAGTCCACGCCTACTAAGTCCACAAGGCAAAAAAAAAAAATTTTTTAAATATTAGGATAGAGAAAAAAACTTAAAGAAAATTTTTTTTTTAATCTACCACAATAACCCCAACAATATACATCTATTTATTATAGAAATCTTTTCTTGCTTTTTTCAATAATTAGAATTTGAATTTGGGCAAAATATTTCTCGAGCAGATGCAATTGATATCACAGATTCTGAAGATGAAACTGAATAAAAAGTAACATGTAGGCTATTTTAACTTGTTGGCTTAATTAGTATCCTACATGTAGATGTGTACTGCTGTAAGTTATCTCATGACGTATCCCTCTTGAGTACAGGACCTCCTCCCTGATGAGACTTACTTCTACAAAGCAATGAGCAACACAGCAGAATCCGGGACGTTCTTCTTCAAGACGCCGAAGGCTCCAACTGTAAATTCAGTGGGTTTGGGTTTGGTTTTTTTACTTCAGCACCACATCTAGAGAATATCACTTTCCGTGTGAGAATTATATTATGTTCTGCATTATATTTTCTGTGGTTTGTGCATCAGTAATTTTTTATAACGCATAGGCTCAAAGCAGACCTTCTCTGAAATTATACCTATTGTATTGATTAGGGCTTTTAATTAACAATTATTTTTGGGAGAAACATAATAATTCAGTATTAAATAGATTTCAGCTTATTTTTTGTAATAATTAAGTATTAAATTGAATTATAATTGTTTTTACAATAGTTAAGTTTAAAACATAATTCAAGTTGTTTTTATAAGTCATTTGTTTTTACAGTCCTCGGAGCTTCAGATGTTGGTTTTGAGTGACCTGAGCACAACATCAGGTGCCATCCCAAAACTGGTCCAGGAGGCTCAGAGAGGAGGAAAGTACTCGGCCATCTTGCACACAGGCAATATCGCAGTGAACATGAGCACAGACGGTGGCAAAGTAAGACTGATGCAACAGCGTTCTCGAATGACGCTGGGATTTTGTGAAAATACCTGACAATTTACAGAGTCGCATTCGCAAGCTAAAAGTAAAAGACTGTTGTATAGACATGATAAATATGGGGTTGAAGAGAAAATAAGTACAAAGAGTAACGATAAGTCTTCTAAAGAAAATAACAGAATTGATGGGAAAAAAAGAGAAAATTGGCATCTCTGAACACTAACTAATATCACACGAGTTCGAAAACAAGTTGAGGGAATATGAAAAGCTGATTTATGTTTGCTATAGAAACAACTTAGGGTCTTCTTTTTTTTTATGACTTGGGGACAAAAAAATGTTATTTACAGGTTGTATTTGCAGAAAAAAGGAAGGAATGTGGGGCTTGGTGTGCATTTTAATGTTTAAAGGAAAAACGTTTTTCTCCTAAATCACAATGCGCAAGTTTGTCACTTACTTAAAAACTCCCTGTGAGATTTAGAGAGCAGTGTCAGGGTATAATGATATAGTGTACTATCCCTTTCAAATGCTCATTATTTGCCATAAGATTGTTACACTTTGTACTCTAAATTGAGGTGAATCCAAGTAGACTCGAAAAATTACTGCTCCTGATGAGCTTGTACAGTCTCCCAAAGATGTTGATGTGAGAACATTTTCCTAATATGTATTGTATAGACATGTTTGTTCACCTGAAAAAAATGAAATTCATTACAAACATATTTTTTCTTAAAAGGTCAGCAATACTCATTAGCATTCAAAAGAGCTAGAAGTAACTCCCAAAAGCTGTATTCCTGGTTATTTAATCAAAAGTTTAATGTTTAAAAGCAGAATTTTTTTTATTTAAAAAAAGAGAGACTTTTGTACATTTGTTAATTAGTTGCACCTATGTAAATATAGAACACTTTTTAGAATCAAAACGGTAAAGTGCTTTTATCTGTGAAAAATGTTTATCATTGAAGAAAAGTACCCTAGAGATATGTATTCTCACATACTTTACTTTCAAATTTCAGAATGCAGACAAATACTTCACACGACTTGAACCAGCTTTTGCGAGAGTACCATACATGACCGCCCCTGGAGAGGCTGGTAAGTTGTTTTCAAATTCCATTACCCTCTGAAAGTTTCATCAAGGACACATGGATGAGATTTTTTTTTTTTTAATTTAAAAGCTGTTGCCTGCTTGCTTTGGAATGAATACAAGCCCAAATAATTTCTTCAAACAGTTGAAAGAAAAGCTATGAATCTTTATTTTCAAACTGGGATGTTAGCATGTTTTAAAGTGAGGTCAATTTTGTTTCACCTTTTTGTGATTTTGTGGGTCAGGTTGTATGATTTTGAAGAATACAGATTAATACAGTTCTGAGTCTATGTTTCAAAGTAACCAAAAGTACAGTTGAGCCTGCTCTATTGGCCACCTGTATAAGACAATCACTTCTACAAATTGGCACTTCCCATTTCCTCCCATGTGTATTTTTTACATTATAATGACACAGTGTAAAATGGTCACCTGTCTAAGACGGATATCTCTCCTCAACAATAGGTGGTTGCTTTAGACAGTTCTGACTGTAGTTCAGATACCTATTTTGAAGTTCTCATCTACATCCTTGTTTGAGTAACAGAAGCTCATAAATGCTTTGATAATTGAACCATCTCAGGAAAAAGCACACGCCATGGTAAAGATAGCTTAATGATAGAAAGATTGTTTGCTTTGTTTAAAGAGCAGAACTTCCACATGAAATATCAACATGATTTCAATATCTATTTTCCATTGATTTTTTTGCTCTCATTGTTCTTCATTTCCAAAGGTATAAGGCTGATTAATTTTTAGAATCCTCCTTAACAAAGTATTGACAAAACCTTGTAGCTTTTTAGAATTTTGTACTGTAAATTTCCATGTTTCTAGATCGATAGAGTCATATACTTTTGACACTAATGTTGAAAATTCTTATCTTGGTTCTTGTTCCTATAGCCCCTGATTTCTAGACTTTTCTTAGTTTTGTGAAAGCTCCTCTTGCCTTGCGCGTCCTTGTCTTAACTTGTCTATATGCTTTTTAAGTAAGTAAATCAGCTTTTTCTACTGTTGCTTCACTGATGGTAACCTGATCACTGATGAGAGTGTTGATCCCTTGGTCTGGTCTGTAATAAGTCTTGTTCGGTGCCAATTTCATATTTCTGTCCAAATATTTTTCCAGAAATCGAAGATGACCTGTACACCCACTATCTGCACAGGCTGTCCATGCCTCAGTCTGAGTGGCCTATTACGCTGGACCGGATGTGGTACAGTGTGGACATTGGTCCAGTTCACTTGATCAGGTGACTATTAATTTGACTTTTAGGACATTGAAGAGGATTACACTGCACTATCTGTTACTGAAAAAAAAGGAATGTGAATTGTGATAAAATCCAGTGATACAGATTAAACTCTCACAGCTGTTGAAAACATGGCTACAATAAACAGAAAGTTGTTTTAGCTGATATTGTTCAGTTTTACCGTGGACGATATCCTACGTTATTGAGTAGCTCAAATGATTAGGTAAACATGCTTTAAAAAAGGAAAAACGAAGCTTGATTATCTGATTTTGAATAGGCCTTTCAATTTGATTCTGAAAAAACAACCTTTCGGTTCTTTCAAAGTACTGAGCTGAAACTGGTGGGGAGATTTTCAAATTTAGAAGTTTAAGTAGAATTTATTTTTTGTCACCCACATCTGTGGTGTAGTGGTTAAGCACTTTGCTGCCACACACAGAAGTTTGATTTCATTGGGGGGGGGGGGGGAGAGAATTTTTATTAAGTAGGCCTATCTTTGCGTAGTTTTCACTGGTAAAATCGAAGGCAAATGCGGCAGAGGTAGACCCAGAGCAACTTTTGGAAATCCTAAATAAATGAGTGTCGGGGAAAGATCAGGGTAATTACAGTTTTTTTTAGAGCATCCAAGCTAAGGTATGAATGGTGAACCACGATCACCACAGTCCGTTTCAGATCTGGCACTTGATGATGATGATGATGTGATGATGATGACCTAAGCCTTTCTTCTGGGACATAGTATCCCTCTCAGTCTAGGTACACCCTGACAGGCAGAGTCAAAGCCTGCCTCTTGTTGTTGTTAGCGATCCAGAAGCCTGCCTCTTAAATTATGTAAATTGTGTTGATGGGTGATAAAAACATGTACATCTAATCTAGACTTTGAAAATTTTGATTTTTGTGGTTTTTATAATGATTAGAAATCCTTTTCTTGTCAAACCATCCAGAAAGTCTCCTCAGTGATTTTTACTTAGGCTTTGTAGTATGGTTGAAGAGAAGTATGACTACTTGTCATAACTTATGTTTCCATACTTGACCATCAATTTTTTTTTCAGTTACTCTACAGATGTGTTTTACACCTCTGAAGGGAAATATGCTTCTGTACAACATGATTGGCTGATCAAGGATCTGAAAGTCGCCAATGAAAACCGAGAAAAAGTGCCATGGGTGGTGGCCTTTGGGCACGAGCCCATGTACTGTTCTTATGAAGACCCAGATCTGGCATGCAACAAGAAAACATCTTTAGTAAAAACCGGGTAATCTAACTAGACTTTTTTGTTTGTTTCAGATATAGTATGCCAAACTTAATGCTACAGGTCATTACAATGGAGAAGCACTAATTTAAGCCCTTAAAATTAGAGTTTGAACAAGACATGTTTGATCTGCTTACTGTTGTTGATTTTTACCAACTCTTTCCTCTTTTTGTCTGTTCAGAGATACAAGCAAAAACAATTTCTCGGGATAGGCAGAAAGAGTAGCAGCAAACAAATATTCCTCAAATTTTCCACAAACTTCAGTTGTGAGCTCTACCAAAAGTACTGTCTCTCTCGTGTGGAATTCCAAGCCTACACTAGGCTTTGCTCCAGCACCACAGTGGTGAACCTATCACGATCAGAGTAGAACTTGAGGAACCAACTCAGAAATCAAAACATTTCAATTTTGGAAAAGTTTCATTTTGTGCACATAAGAGGCTGACATTAATGCACCAGCACTGTCTTCTTTCACTCAAACTATTTTTAAAAGAGCTGATCAGGCTGATTTAAACAAAATAATTGTAAAATTTTAATTAAAAAATTAATTTAAAAGTAAACCGCAGATTTGATATATATATAAATTTTAAAACATTTTTGTGCTCTAACTTTGCAGATTAGAAGATATATTCTACCACTACGGAGCTGATATCATCCTACAATCCTATGGTAAGGCATACGAGCGCTCCTTTCCAATGTACAAAAACGTCGCAGTGGCTGATAACTACACCAATCCCCTGGCCCCTGTACTCATCGTGAATGGTGGAGCAACAACATGGCAGGAGGAGTACAATTTTACAAAGTCTGCTCGTGAGTGATGACACTGATCTTTATTTAGTTATATTCTTGCTATAGACTTTGCCAAACAAACAGCCAGCATAGCAAAAGTGTTGATAGAACAGAATTGTATGCAAAATCCTTTGATGCTTGTGAGCAGCAATTTTCATAAATTTGAATTGTGGATTCAAATAAATTAATTAATTTTCTCTTCAAATAACTACTACATAGATTTGAGTCATGCTCAAAAAGGTTAGCTTAAAAGCATAACAACAACCTGAATTTGTGAACAGTAATTCTTATGCTTTTCTGAAATTTATACAATATACAGTGAGTGTTTCCTAATTTAAAGTGAAAAAGAGAGATTTAATCAGATACAACACCTACATAAACTTTATTTTGACACAGTGTAATTTGAAATCACTTTTTTAAAACATTTTTCCAAGAAAAATATAAGTTAAACCCATATTCAATTAATTTTCATGCCTATTTACTATGGGTTTTTTCTTTAAACGATGATGTAGGCCTATATTTATTTTCACTTGATTATGTTCTTATTTTACATTTTACTTGCAAACATGTTCTCAAAATTATTAACACAGAAAAGAGAACACAATTTTGAAAAATACTTAAACATCAAAATAAATAGCATTAAAAATGTCTTCTTTACTGATCCAATTGGGAATTTTGTTTCACAATGGTGTACATAAATGCACAAATCCAGTAATACATAAATACACAGATCCAGTAATACATAAATACACAAATCCAGTAATACATAAATACACAAATCCAGTAATACATAAATACACAAATCCAGTAATACATAAATACACAAATCCAGTAATACATAAATACACAAATCCAGTAATACATAAATACACAAATCCAGTAATACATAAATACACAAATCCAGTAATACATAAATACACAAATCCAGTAATACATAAATACACAAATCCAGTAATACATAAATGCATGAATATTACGCAATGTCACAAACATAGACAATCACCATTGACGTTTAGCACCCTATTTTGAGCCAGGGTTATTCTGTCTTGCTAAAGGACATCCCCTGCAGTGATTACCCACTTAAATACTGAGTCACTGACACACTGAGCTGGAGCGCTCATACAATTGTGATCCAAAAAGAATGGCCCCTAAAAATGAATTATTTTTAGTTTAAATTTACTTACCCTTCTCTTTTGTAACTACTGCTATGTGCTAGTGCCACTCAATTTTCTGCTCACTCTTTTTCAGCTGGATGGGTCGCTAAGCGCATCACAAATTTCACTGAGCCATCTTACGGACGCCTTCGTATTTTCAATTCTACCGTTGCCAAGTATGAACAAGTGGCCTTTGAAGATGGATCTGTTCTCGACACATTTAGCATCTTTCAGGAAAAGCATGGCCAATTTTCGACCGAAAGCTTGTCCCCAAATATCACCGCTGAAATCAATCAGGAAATCCTTGATGCGGGAGGAAAGCCAGGTACTGTTTGTGCAGTTTGCTTAAATAACAAAGCCTCTCCTTTGTCTGCCAACAATTTAAATGTAATAAAGTATAAGTTAGTATAACATCAGAATCAAGTACCCTCTTCCAGCCTAAAAAATGGGTCTTCAGTAGTCATAAGAACATGCTGGAGACGTAATTCAAATGGAGCTGTGCTGGGACTTTTCAACTGAAAAAAAATTCTTTAAGTCATCTACACTGTATCGGAGTACACTATACTGAAATTGTATTGTATCTCAAAGTTTGCTCAAGTGTTGGAGATGCACAAGGTAAGATTGACACAGACAAACATACACAAAATTTGCAACAGCCTTTACATACAAGAACGAATTCAAACATTGTGTATCTCCAACCTTTCAGGCACATATGGACATGGTAAGTTCTTATGCATTTCCCACTCACGGCTTGTACCAGGGTTTTTTTTCTTTTAGTGATCCTCCTTCACTATACGTGTTGGCTGCTCCAGGAGCATGAACAATTACTGCAGATTGAAAAAAATTATTTCTCAAACATTCTTGTTATTATTTTCAAATCTATGTAGAGACCCTTCTCAAGGCTTTACTCTTTTATGCCATAGGCTATATCTTGTACAGACTTTTCTGAACCAGTGCTTATTGTTTTAGGGTTTTTTTTCAGGGATTTCTTTGTGAATACACATGACTTACAATATAGTTAAATGATTATGCTAATAAAGCCACTGAATATGTCCCTTTTGTCCTTTCTTCAAACCCTTTTGATTTGTCCTTTTATTATACTACAAACAGGTGTCAGTGGTGTAGCAGTTAAACACTTTGCTGTTGCACATAGGAGACCCAAATTTGATTCCTTAATGGGGAGAATTTTTATCGAATGTTTCAGTATTTTTGCTAGGATGTTGTATCCCTCTCAGCTGGTGTTTTCCCTGACAGGCAGGGTCAGAAGCCGATCCAAATAATCTAAATCGTGTTGATGGGGACGTAAAAGCACCTACATTTAGAGAGAGAAAAATCAAACACAGTATTTTTTAAACTGCTCGACAGTTAAATAAAAACTAACAGACAAATCTTTAGTAGGACTGCTATCAATAATGCACGTCGAAAAAAAACCAGTCTATAGAAACCATTGATTTGGCTATTCAAAGATAATAAGCATTAATAGTAATCCACTTTGAGCTTTTAATTTCATTCTGTGAAAACTATCATATGTGTCACGATGTAGTGGTATCAGGCGTTCATCAATTTTTATGCATTTGGAGTTATTGGTAAGCCTATCATCTTAAAACTTGTTCAATTGTCCTGTTATCAGTGAAAAAAGTGCCCTTCAATCTTGAATAGAAGTCAAGATATTTGAGATTGAAGAAGGTGGGGTCGCCTGGTTTCAAAGGTAGATACCGAGAAAATGGCCGCCAAAGTTTGGTTATCTCCATAGCTTGATAGTCTGTGGAAACTGTAAACTTATATTTTTTGTGCCTTTAATGAACGTTTGGAAGTAAAATGCAAACATAAATGTGTTCTTAATTGCATGGCAATGGTGTTATACCAAGAAACAAAAATTCTATTAAAATTTCATTATTTTGACATGTGCCTGATTTCACCAAACTGCATCACATATATCAATGTGCTCCTGTAACATATCCCAGAAACTTTCCCTTTAATACATGTAATATTTAATTTGGAGAGGTGGTTGAATATACAATTTGCCCCCATCCTTCCTATACACCCTCCTCCACCCTCCCCAAACCCACCTCACCAGCTGCATGATCAGGTTAATTTTGAACCTGCTGTGGCTGCTTTCATTCTATACTCCTGCATATCATCAAAGTATTATTCTGATGACTTACACAGTCATGTATCATAGTTTTGAGTAAAACTGAAATATCTTTCTGATTTTAGCGTCTTTTCCTAATCCAGGCCATGATGGGGTTTTTTTTTTAACTTTCAATATCTGCTGATGCATTTATTTACACTGTTTTATACATTATCACTGCACTCCCCAAAGATATGATTTGCTGTGATTCAGAATCAATTATTCTCTCAACTGTGATACTCTAAAATTATGGAGTCCAACTCTAAAATTATGGAGTCCAGGTTTTTCCAGGGATGCCACACGGTTTCATACATTCCAAGTATCAATTATTTCAGTAAATCCGATTTTGGTAGGTCCTTCAAGTGAATAGCAGCTTTTATAAGTTTTATTCAGTCTGACTTTTTGAGTTGATGTTATGTAGTATTAATAGTTATGTTTCTTAGCATGGCACTTTCTTCCTTTCAATGATGAGAATCTGAAAAGTTGAACATTAGCATTTCAGATTTCTCTCAAGCAGTGAGAAATTCATTAATGAATTTCAAATAAAGATCATTATTCATTACACTTATTTGTACAAGAACTTGGATAGTTGCTGTGTTTACATTGATAGCGATATAATATCTAGATCTAGATTTATTTTTTCTGACTTACACATATTGATAGGGCCTATACAATTACTAACAAAATAACCTAGAGTTATTCTCCAGAAAGTATAAAACACTGAGCAAATGTTGTGATGAAAAATTGTAATGTCCCATTTTTGTTACAGGTGTTCTCAATATTGATGAGATTGGACACACAGACATAAAATCCAAAATTACGGAGATGCTGAAAGGAGATAACAAAACGAGGCTTATCATCGGTGTGAGCGCTGGCAGTTTCATCATCGCCGTTCTCGTCATCATCTGCATTGTGAGGAGGGTGAGGAGACGGCGCCGTGTAACTAGGCGGTGGGAGCAGATGGACATCAACTACGGCAAAAAGTTTTACAGCAAGGCCCCAGACAAAGATGAGGACAACGACTTTGAGATTGACATGAGTGAGGGAACAGAGCCAACAAGAAAACTGCTGGAAGCCGATGACTGAGAATGAAAGTGTGCTTTACTGGATGGGGTTCTTGATTTGCTAGAATGAAAAGAGTCAGATTTATTTAGCCTATAGTACATAATATGTAAACAGGTTCATTAATGGGGTTTATTTTAAGATTTGGTAGATACCTAACATAAGAAATCTATTTTGAGGAATCTATCAGATAACGTTTTACTTAAATAAATCACTACTGGTAGAACTTAAACTGTGGTTGAAAAATTTGTTTGCCTAAAAACGTGTATGCTTTTGAGATCTAACAGCATTTTCAAGTATGCCCAAATCATTTAATAACATCCAGCGTAAAGACAGAGTCATGGTTTCCTCAAACCAGCAGCTCTTGATGCAGTCAAATAAATCTATTGTGAGACCTTTAATTTCCACACTGCTCCACATTTTGTGCCAGTCTTTGATATCATTATGGTATTAGTTTCCATTTCGGAGTGAGTTATTTTTTACTCCTCAAAAGATAAATGTTTATCATATATATTTTGAGCGTGCAAACTGAAATCTAAGGCTCCTGTGGCTCTTTCTCTCTACTGTCTAGAGAGATGTGCTTTCTAAGGAGAATAGTGGTTTGTTGTGTGTTTCCTTGATAGAGTAGACTAGGTCCAAAGCTAGAGGTAGCTGAAATGATTAAGGTATTGCAATGTTGCTGTTGGCTGTTATGGCCAAAACAAAATCCAGGTTTTACTTTTTTCAACTTGAAGCATGACCAGAAGGCTGAGCACATTTGGAGGGGTGACTGTTTTATTTTTAAGTGTGTGACAATAAGTCAACAATGTGTACATTAGTTTTTATTTTCTGGCCATAATATCCAAATTGTAAATATTTGATGACTTTTTTGTAAAACAGTTAAACACTGTTAATTTTTTACAATATATTTATGTTTATGAAATGGTTTAGCTGAATTTTGTTGAAGCCAGGGGTGTTATGTAAGTTGCTAGAGAACCCAAATCCTCTATTGATTTTTGTGCAAGTTTAATTTGGAAGGTATGGAAATTCAATTTACTCTTACATTTTAAAAAGCATGGTGACTTTCAACACAGGTGCACAAAGAATTTCTTGATTTAAAAACTTGTTGAGATGGGTGACAGGGAAAGACCACATTGATATTTATTTTTTTAAGAAGGTCTGAGCAGAGAAGTAAGTGGCAAACTATGATCACAGATCTCTGTTTCAGATCTTGCACCCAAAGAAGAAGTAAACTTTTTACTTGTACTATCTGTTAACGAACATTTTTGTCAAAGAAGGGAGTTTCATATTTTGTAGAGGTATATTATTGATTTATTTTGGCTGAAAACTGTTTTGGGATACTAAAACTTTAAATTTTTCTAATATTCCTTTGTTTTGTGGTAGAGAGATCAGACATTGCTGTGCATGCTTATTTTGAGTAAATTGATCGCTGCATGGCTGAACATCTCAGAATGAGAATTTTAAAAGTTTGAAAGGCCAGTGGCACTATCATTCACATTGTTCTCTTTAGAAAAAAAAACAGACCAAAAACTGTGCAGCTTTATCAATTTCCTTGTAGGTCAAAGTCAAAGATCTTGCAGTACAGCCAACCAGCCCTAAGCTCTAACTTACAAAATCCAAAGAAACTTATTTGAAAGTTTTTTAGAATGTATCTTGCAACTAAGAGCTGTGCTCAAGACAAGAGGACATAAAACATGTTCATTTTAACTTTACTTCTTTCCTCATTTTGTTTACCAAAGCCTGTAGCCCGTAGCCATGTTCTCAGTACTAACTATACTATGTGAGGCATCGTAGTGAAATCAGACGCTCGTCAAAATAATGAAATCAAAGAAATCTACATTTTTCTGGCTGCTTGACAATTTTTTTGAATTTTCTTTTTTTGGCTCAACGTCTTGTATTTTCATTTAAAAACTAATTTCTGCGTTAGATTTTACTGAGAAATGTTGATCAATGGCACAGAAGCTGTAAATGTGCAGTTTTCAAGACATTCAAACTTTGGAAGTCCCCAAACTTAGACAGCCATTTTCTCACTAATTTTACTGATAAAGCAAGGTGACCCCCCTCTTTCTTCAATCGCAAATATCTCGACTTCTATTCAAAATAGATGGGTATTTTTATTTTTTTTACAAAAGCAAGACACATGAACAAGTTTTAAGATGATACCAGTAACTCCATATGCTAAAAAATTGACGAGTGCCCGATTCCACCACATCATGACACATATATATAAGTTTGTGCCTTTAAGTCCATGACGTGCCTTTATTTTACCTTGAGTTAAATTTGTTTGTGCAATTACGGTATCTGATGTTTCAACGTATAATTTACTGGCAAGAGTTGGAGAATGTACATCTTTGCTTTTATATGTATGCATAGTTCATGGTGATTACAAGATAATGCTATGATTAATGCTTACTACTGATCTGAAAAATGAATCTATTGTGTATGTGTGTGCATGTTGACTGTACAAGTTGTGAGGAGTTCATTTTCATCAGAGATACTCCATATATCTCTTTCTCTATATATATGTTGTTTTATTGAATTTTCATTCCTTTCATTTTGCTCTGATGTCTATGAATACAATGAATGTGAATGTCGTGAGTGGAGGCCATTTTATGTTCTTGCCATATCAGCGTGTGCAATGGGTATGGGTGAAAATGAGTTCTGGTGATTTGTGAGCGATGTTGGCATAAAAAGAGGGTTTCTAAGATGTAACTGCATTGAACGTAATAGACTTGAAAGTGAAGGGTGTTTTTGACGACAGATAGAATGAGTATGTTTGTTTTTGATGAAGTTTAAAAAGTTTTAAGCCTCTCAATGCTTGTTTCATTTCACAGTTAAAGTACCTGATCCCAAGACAGGCTACTGAGCCTATATTCAATATTCCCCAGGCTTTCTAAAAGCCGAGAGTCCTGAAAACTTCTGAGAAGCTGAGAGTAAATATTTTAATTTTTCAGAGTAACAATAAATAGTATCGGATCAGACAGCATTTCAGTTTTTTAATTTTTAAAACGCTATCACGAAAGAATTGTATACTGACAGGATTTTCAAAACCGTTATCTTATTACACACATCTCGGCTTCATCAATATGTATCATAGATTTTCTAAAGTAGAAAAAGCCCTTTTTAGAAACAAAAGTCATCAAAAAGCTGATGAAATGCCAAAGTAATCGTGGCCTGTTTTTGCTGTGAGATGAGTTGAAAAGTTTTTGAAACTGCTTGTCTATCTAATGCTAATAGAGGTACTTTGAAGCAACTTTCAGAGGAAATAGTCAGTGCTTATTCTTGCCTTTTGATTTTGAGTGATGAAAATATCATCACTGTTGTGATAAATATCGGATAAGCGACTTCGGTTAAATATTTCAGGAGAAGGGTAAAAAATTGATTTATTAAAACGACGTTTCATGAAAAAAAAAGCAAATTCGAAATTTTTTAGTTATCCGATCTTATCACAATGGTGAAGATATGATTTTTGATTGATTTTGAATTTAGACCATGAAAAGGAGATAATGTACAGTTTTTTTATGAATTTGATTATGTTTATGACATGGATCAGTGTTGTAATTCGTATACCTCATAACTTGCAAAAACCAGATAATGTGCCTGTAAGTTTGAAGTTAAAAGATTGTATTAGAAATCAAAAAGACTGCTGCATGTTGCATATATATGAACTTCATGTCTTCATTAATGTTGTGGCTTTACTTTTTTCAAACAAATGTGTCAGCACAGGGGAATGGACATATTTAATACATTGCTCACTTTCATATGGATTGTTCTCCTCTGCTTTAGAACTTTGACCTATGAATATATTTTTTTCTTTTGTTAACTCTTTATCTCCGGCAAGCCGCTCCCAGTGGCTCACAGTTGGAACCACTGTGCTATAGTGAGCTGCTGACAGCGGCTCGGCCAAATTTCTTTGCGACGACTTCGACATCAAATTGCTTTTCGACACGTCTCTTTTTATCAGGATTTCATTCATTAGATGAAAATCCATAAAAATAGGTTCACTTGTTTTGATTTAATTATCAATTTAGTGACGATTTTGTCATTTATAAATTTAGAACCAAAAATGGGCCCCATGGAGATAAAGAGATAAAATTACTTTTTTTTTAAACTTCAAGAAGCTGGAAGTGTGCTTTATGGTAATAGATGTTTCCTTATTAATTTTCAAGAATTAACATAATACTAATAAAAATGAGTTCTCTCTCTCTCTCTCTCTCTCTCTCTCTCTCTCTCTCTCTCTCTCTCTCTCTCTCCTTTTCACTCCCTCCTTCTTTATTCATATATAAAACAATATAATGGCTCTGTAGGTTTCAAATAAAGACACACAAGAGTATCCTTATCAAGAGAGAACGACGTTGAAAGAGTAATATCTACAAACAAAAATCTGACTGGGACCAAAAAGTTATACAGTCTAGCACACGCACATTGTGAGCATGCACATGATGAAACAGGCACAGATTGAATTAACAAATTTTCAGGTCCTGAAATTTTTCTTATACACTATATTCTTTATATTTAAAACATGTACAAAGTGAAATTCATACGTAACAAACATATATTTCGGTGCCCTGTAAACTTCACTATATTGTGCGTGCTAGACTGTATATTTATTCTTCTTAAGATAGAAGAAAGGAGACCATATAATAGTGTTTTTGCATGGGTGTGAATTCCACGGCACATTTATTTGTGAATCAGTTATTCTTAATATCTTAAGTGTTGGTATGGATGAATTTTTTTTTGTTCCAAAATTTTCTTTGAAGGAAAAAAAAAAAGCCTCTTTGATCGGAAAGAGTAGGCCTTTGCTGGTAATTATTATGTAAATTCTGGTTTCACATTTAATTTCTTGTTTTGTTTAATGGAATTATTTTATTAGTCCTGCTTGGCATAAAAATGTTTTGAATTTGGATTGTGTAGTCAAAAAAAAACTGCAATCACACACCTGCATATTTCAGGTTGATACACCAGAAACATGTGTATTCTTTTCAGAGTTTGTGCAGCTTTTTGCTACTCATTTCCTCCAACTCTCAGCTTTTCAAGTATATAGAACCAAACATAGGTCCTGGGTTCGAATCCATGGGAAAGGCAATAATTTTCCTCACTTCAATCAGATGGAAATGGGTATCCATCTATAGACAGTGTAAGATCTTGTCAGTTCGTTAGTATCTGAGTGCTTATTTGCCTGCTTGCACTGTATGCTTGCTTAAAAGCTGAGGATATATCTGAGTGGTCTGGGGTCTGTTGAGGAAATAATTTAAATTGTAAAGAGCTTGCATTGGCTTAGTGGGGAATCTATGCTTTATAATGCTATTATTATCATTTACTATTTATTTATAAGATCCGTGCTAATACTAGAGAGTCCCAGAGTGACCATGTGTTCAGTTTGACAAACTGCTGTGTTTATGATGTCTGGTGTCACCATTAGAGGCACAAGGAAGAAGAAGAAGACCATTGCAAGTCAGATCTTAAAAGAATGCTTTGGCTCTTATCTTTGGACTAGGTGGACCTGGGAGTTTGTAGATTAGTCGTTTGCTATGAGTAATGAAGCTAAATACTTGGATTAAAAGATGCGATAGATTGCTCACGAATAATTTTTTTCCTGACCTAAAAAAAAATGGTTTCTTTCAAATTCTACCGACATCCAAAGTCTCATCATTCTCCTTTCCTTCAGTGGATCAATGAATATATATTGTAAAGTGTTGTGCTCTCCAGGTATTTTTCTGTGCATAATCATTTATTCTGCACTGGTTGAAGACAGCAAAGTTGCACCCAAAACCTCCAGAAATATATACTTATGGGCGATACACATGTGTATTCAATGGCGTATCCATTGTGAACACTGTTGAACTTCACAGAATTGAATTAATTTTTTGTCTCTAAATAACAAGGCACTATTACATATACAGAGGAGTCCACTTAAAATAAATGAACAGAGACAAGACACTAATTGTGTTTATTTTAACATTGTTATTCTATAGGCTTTGTCCCTGTGTCCACTTCTGAAAAATCCTAGGTGCTGGTTTTCTACACCAGCTGTTCTGTCCTTGGTAATGGATTTAGAAACTTATATTTTATCCCTTTCAGGAATAATGAAAAAAACAACCTGTTGCTCAGCTGATGAAAGGTTTCATAATTTGTAAGTTTATTGTAAGAGGACTCCACTGTAATATTTCATTGCACATGCTTTTTTTGTTATGGATGACTGTACTGGGATGATGTATGTTAATGGAAATATTGAAGCAAAATAATGTACAAGACAGAGAGAACACTTTCAATTTATTCATTTTATATGAATTTGATATCAAGTCTTGTCTTCCAATAAAAAGCAAAAACTGCAAAACCATGTCAAGCTCTATATATATTGACAAAGTAGATCGGTGCAATATGAATAAAATTAATTAATTATTATTATATGTGTATGTAAGGTTTCCTCCACGGAGGAAATCACAGAAGCAGATGGAGAAAAGTTATTTCATTGTCAGAAGAAATATAACTCACACTATTCTATAAATAATTGTCATTGCATTGTACAACATGTCACTACTTTATTGGAAATGAGGAAAATCCCTCTCTGTCATTGCGACTTTCTTGGAAAGGAGGAAAACCCTTCTCTGTCAAGCCTCAAATGAAAACAACAGTTTCACTGACTGTTTAACTCATCTAAGCGTCATGACAGAAGTGGTCCTAGTTTGAGATAAACTATAAAATATGTGCTGAGATGGTTATAATAATCTTCCCCTTTTATTTTCATTATTATTTGAACTTAACCCTCATCCTGCGGGAGCCGGGTTTATGCAGCCCGATAAGCCTATTCGGGCACCTCGCCTGCGTTCTGGTCCCGAGTCAGTGTAGCTCCTGGCTGAGCGTACGCGCAGCGCGCATCCTCTTACGTGTCATTCGAGTCCCGAGTCGGAACCCCATTCACGCAGGTCAAGTGTGTGTGCGTCAGTCTGCTTGAGTTTGTGTGCGTTTGTGGCCTTCTTCTAGAACCACCTGCGTTGGTTCGTAATCGAGGCATACGTCTCATTCAAAACATGCCAAGTTGATAGCTCTAGATGTTCGTCCAATGAAATTATAGAAGAAATTGACCCACTTAGACATGAGGAGCTCGAAAGGATAGTCAGGAAACAAGACTTCCATTTTTCTATACAAAATATTTCAAATGAGCTTGATTTTGCATGAAATGATACTACCTGATAAAAAATGAGCTTGTTTGATAGTTTTGAATACCCTTGTGCAGGTATAAAGAACAATTTGAGTGTAAAACATTCGGAAATTGACCTAAATTATCCTTTTTCGAACCTCAGGTCATTCATAACAACAAGAGCGTCCAGAAAGGTTATTCAAATGGGCGTAACTACTCGTAATGTCTTATCAGCTTGTGAGAGGGGGTTATTCATGTGTTTGTAACACTTTATAAATAGAAAGCTATGAAGGATAGAGCGTTATTTTCATCATCAGTTAACACACTGCCGCGGTATTCATGGCGAAAACACACGTTTCCCGGCGCGTGCGCTGTACATCAACAGTACACACTGAGTGACCCCGGCGGCCTGCCCGGCACGTCCGACGTAATCGGTTGCTGATAAGATACGCATCTGGGCACAGACGCAGGATAAGATTTAACATGCGGGTTCCCATATAAGGAGTTGAAAGCTATGCTGAAAGGATTTGGACACTGAAGTAAACGGAAAATATAACACCTGTTTTAGTTTTATCAATTCATATGTTCCCACGTTGACTTTTATTGAATAATCCCGAAGCACTTTATTGTCTGTGGCGTGTAGTTGGATCAGGCATCAGCAGCTCCATTGTAGATGTCTTCAGTGTGGCTCACAGTTTGGTCCTCACCGGAGGAGTCTATAAAGTCTGCCGAGCCACTGGTGGTATAGACTTCCTGAAAGAACAATAAAATAAACGTGAACATAGTCTTAAATAAATATATGAAGCATCATTTACTAGCCACATATTTAACAGATTAAGGCTCATCGAAATATAGAAACAAATTTGGACAAATGTTTCGGGTACTTTTTTAAAAAATCTGTAAGATCTATGTTTCTTCTTCCCTCCCTCCCTCCCCCCCCCCCCCTCCTTTCCCTTATAATCATACCCCATATTGTGCTGGTAGCTCAGAAACACAGGTCACATTAACTCTTTATCTTCAGCAGGAAAGACGAAGAGGAAAAGGGATACCTAAACTTGAATTAAAATCACAGAGTAAGTACAAAAGGCAATGGTATCAACAAATGATAAAAGAGAAGCACATAAATTAATAAGAATCAGAGCTCTATTAAGAAAGGCAAAAGTATAATTCAGGAAAAAATCTGAATACAGTTGAAACTGTCCAAGACAATCACCTGTTGTGGAAGAGAAAAAAGGTTGTCTTAGTGAGGTGGACGTCTTGGACATAGACAGTAAGGAGGCAACTATAAATGGTCGCTTTTAAGGACAAGTGGGCTATCCCGAAAAATGCTGTTTTGAGAAAATTGAAGGTAAAGTTTTTACCCCTTGTTCAGTTTCATTAACTCTTTTTATCCGGGCTACGAGTATACTCGTAACGAGGACCAGTCCGGGCTACGAGTATTCTCGGAACAGCGATACGGTCATGTCAAAGAAGCTAGTTCTGCTTGTAATTACCAAAATACGCAAATACGGCGATGCTATCTCTGCATGCAAATTTTAATTTTCCAATGAACAGTGGTTTCTTTGTTTTTGATTGGTGTAGAAGCTTGAAAATTGTCTCAAAAACGCACATTCATGACCGACGAAGTACTTTTTGAAGTGGCGCTGGGTTGTGAGGGGGAATGATACTAATTTGATGAAAGTGGCTCTGAAATAAATGCCGTAAATTCCGTTTTGGATGATAAGAAACAGGACTTAGACTCATCTAATAGCGATTCCGATCATGGTGAAGGGGTCAGTACTGGAATTCGTGCTCGATGGGTATATTTCCTAACCACATACATTTACAAAAACTACATTCAATTTCTAACATAACTGCCAAATTTCCTTAAAAACTTAGTGTAAATGTAAGAAATATAGCACTTTGAACTATACGCACTGACTTCCGACTCATACGGCGCGGCAGCCCCAGGACGGGTACAGAGTCCGTGGGGGTACGACTAGGATAAAAAGAGTTAAAGAAAAGAAGAGTTTTCTCTATAATCAAACAAATATACACACCAATGAAACCAAACTTCTCCTGTAGGTAGGGCAATGCCCAATTTTTGTGTAGGTCAAGATTTCTGGAAACCCCCGAAATCTGGGTTAACTCGCTTGTCCTTAAAAGTGACCAAATTATAGCAGGGTCTACTGTGGGGCGATGCCTGCACACCAAACAGTTCGCACTGCCGTGCACCAAAAAGATCCTTGTTTGTACGTATGTTCTTGTCCTTCTTGTTTTCTCTCCTCAACTTCAATACACATTCAATCCCACAACTTAATGCGTTTTTTGGTTTCTTGCCACAACTGTATCTGTATTCTAGCATGAGTTTCAAAAGGACAGCCGTGAATCAAAAGTCAGTCTCTGCTGTTAGCTACCTTATGTGTCTTGAGATGACTTTCAATTTCCTGAGTAGAAGCAAAGTTTTCACCACATACTGGACAATTCAGATCTCCCCTTCCTTCTACCTCAGGCACTGAAAGTTCCTTCTCCACATGCATCTTGTCTTCTGCTCCATTCTTGTCATCTGGAGGGAGATCATTTGAACGTAAAGTGAGATCAAGTAATTGATACAACAAATACCCAAATCTCTCAATCGCATTATTTGTCTTAAATTTACTTAAATATACATGCAGAAAGCTTGCATAATGCACAGCTTTAGCTGCCATTAAGGATTATAGTGCTACAAATAGAATAATATTAGTTGTTCAAGCCTCAATTCTATCCACCCAAGGATCAGACAATAATTAAAAATCTTGATGAAAGTTCTATGTTTTTCACATCCCTTGCTGTCTAAACAGTGCATCGAATGGGGCACTCTGATTTGAGAGGTGAATAAATCATCATAATGACCAATCTATTTTGAGAAACAGTCTTCAATGCAAATAGAAATTCAAAGTAGAAACAACATTCCTTTCTGAGCCTAACTCCTCTTAATTCTGAAATTGAAATAGAAAAAACTCTGACCGACAACTGAAAGGAAGATTCACATACAACAACAATGTATGAGACAAGAAGACAAATTTTAGAGTCTTTTTTTTTCCCATGTCCTTATTTTGCTGCCGATATTTGTAGGTAACGTAAAAATGTATTGACATGGTGTAAATTGTTATGTTTCAAGAAAAAAAAGAAACAAGAAAAAGGGGAATAGTTTAGTTGATGAAGATGATGGTGATGATAATGATGATGATGGTGAGGATGATGGTTACAATGATGATGCTCTTATGTTGGAAATAGTCTGCATTTTAATCTTAGTGTTAAGTGCATTTCATTTTTTTTTTTGCACTTACTCTGGATCCCCGCCAGACTGTCCTGGGGGGCAGGACACAACCCTCATTCACAACTCCTCGCATAGAATGACCAGAAATTTGGAAATAATTCGTTATCTTCATCCGTAGCATTTAATAAAAGTATGCCAAAAGTCACGTGGGGGCCGCTTCTAAGTGATGACGTTGTTAGTGTGTTTGTTACCCAAAAACGTCTATGCTATTTTCAAAACAGTGAAAGGAGTATGGCCTATAACCTTTGCAATATTTTTCATCGTCAAGGCAGCTGCTTTCCGGAACCAAAGATTAACACGTCTAAAAATTATTAGTCTTTAAAAAGTACAAAGACATAATAAACCCACTTTAGTGCTATTAAAAAGCAAAACATTCAGAAACAGTGGAGAGACAGTAGATAAACTATTAGCGGTGCCCTCCAACACATAAAGGGCCAAGTTCTGTGTGTTGTCAGACAGATCATAACAGTAATATGAGCTTTCTAGAAGTAACCATTTCATGCTTTTTACCTAACTTCTTCTTGTCTCCCTGCTTGTGGACTCTCATGTGGAGGTTCAGGTATCGCTGAGATGTGAACGTCTTCTTGCAGATGTCACAAGGCAGAGAGGAGCCTGCATTTTTGTCAGATGAAACAAATACAATTTAAATAGACGTAAGAGTGTGTTGGCAGTTTAGTTAAAAATATTTGTTGGGAGGGGTTTGTAGACTTTGCATATGTAACTTGCATTTATGAGTAATTATATGTGAGTGTGTGCGTGTGCGTGTGCATGTGTGTGTGTGCGCATGTGTAGGAGCAAAGGCTCAATGAATTCATCATTTTTAATTTAAAAATACTGTTGCAGGCAAAATTGGTTCCAGTACAAAGGAGAAAAGAACCATTATTTGAAGTAATTTCATTTTCTTCTGATCAGATTTCAACATTATTCAGTTTTAACACAACACTGTTTGGCCTAATTTTTCAGTGAATTCCAAAGTTGACTTTTAACTGAGGATTTCTGTGTGCGAAAGCACTGGGTTCTTTTAAGCAACTAAAATTAGTCAAAGGATCAGTGTACCTCTTAATTTACTGAAAGAAAAAATAATAAAACCACAGTTAACCCCAGTCTTAACCCTTGCTCCTTTTTTGTCCAACTGTAAGTCAAGTTAATTTGACATAAATCCTGACTGCCTCTTTGTGAAACATTGATATATCATGCTTTGGGCAACTTTGACTGTTAAACAAGTTTTTAAAGAGACTTAAAGTTGAAAATCAATCATTTGGAATCCATTTAATATGAAGGCAAAACACCAGACAAAAGGTAAACATATCTATATTTGACTGGAATTTGGATTCGACAGTATCCATCCAAATTATAATATCTGGTTTCTGTTTGTGTATTCATAAATTTATATGCAGTAGAAACATTGTCGAGGAGAAAAGTGGCCATATTAGACAGGTGGCTGTCTTAAACAGCGTCATCATAATGTAAAAAATAAGCAAGGGAGGAAATGGGAAGAGGCCATTGTACAATAGATTGTCTTATACAGGTTGTCATTTTATCTGGATTCAGTTGCTTTCATCCACATCATCTGGATGTGTTACCAACCTGCTCTATGGGACAAGATGTGGTTCTGCAGGGCACTGAGGGTGGAGCACTCCTTGTCACACATCATACACTTGAAGCTTTTCTTCTTCCTGTGCTCCTCTGCACTGGAATGAACGGTGAAGAAATGTTGCTGCATTGCCAGGGCTGAGTTGAAGGTCTCTGAACAGAGAGAGCATCTGAAATCACCAAGAGAGAATGTGAAGGTGTTGGGTTTTTTTACCCTATGGCTGACATGTATTCATACAGTGTCTTTCTAAAAATAATTGAACATGTTCCTGATGTCATATGATTATTTGATTTCTCCTTTAAGGTGTTCATTTCATCATAATCTGGTTTTGGTTTTTGTCTGTAACTTTTTCATATCATGAGTAAGTCTCCATCACACCATCACTAAGGTGTTCTAATAAATACGTTTAGCTACAAATAACTATTATTAACTAGAATAATATATTACATTTCCATAGAATCTCACAAGACAGATACAAAGGTTTAAATGATACTATCACATGAAATCAAAGTACTGTAACTTGAAATTATTATTAACTATTGAAATAATATCTTCCTCTTAAACTCACAAAGCACAACTCATGACACAACGTTTATTCCATAGAGAGGTTGTGAAATCATTTCTTGAGTGTTTTCTTGATTTACTTGCACATTTTCAGAAGGAAATGAAAATGTTACTGATACAGATTCAATGATAAAGATATTTCATCAAGTTTTGACGAATAACTCTTACCTAATGGCAGGACTGCCATCTTTTTTCAAGTGTGTTTTTCTGTGGTTGGCCAGAGCTGTTCCAGTGGAGAAATATTTGTGACATTCTGGACACTCTAGACTAGCAGGAGCTGCTGTCAAGCTGGGCACTAACAGGGGGTCTTGTCTTTTTGAGGCCGAAGGTGAATGGCCCGACTTCTTAGATAAATCGTAGGCCTTAACGTCTTGAAACCTCTCCAACAGTCGTTTGTTTGTAAGAGAAAGGGATGGAGACAACTCCTGTGCTTTAGTCAGCGGTGATGATGACGACAAGAAAGACGCTAACGATGCCATGGACATTGCTGCAGAAGATGATAAAAGAGAAGCGGAGAGAAGTGGAGAAGCTTGGTGCATGGAGCTGAACGGATCTGCTCCATGGCCGTAGATAAGCTTGTGATTTTCGTATTCAGCACTGAAAAAGAATTTCTGAGAGCAGTGACTGCAGGCAAATTTCTTAAAGGATGCATTGTGCTCCAAGGCATGGACTTGAATTTCTTGTGGCGATTCAAATGTTTTGTTGCACACGAAGCAGACGATATCTCTACCAACGAAGCTGTGCTGGATCAGATGGGTCTGTAAACGCCCTGGTGAGTCAAACAGAGCCCCACAGAGACGACACTCATGTTGGGTGCCTTCTGTCAACATGTGGCTGGCTACGTGAAGCTGTATTTCATATTCAGTTGAGAAGGATTGTTGACATTTGATGCACTGGAAATTTGCCTGAGGAAGTCAAGAGCATAATTATGGCTTCTTCATATTATGATTAATGACCAAAATAAAAAAAAGTAAATTTAAAGCTTTGCAAGAGCCAAACGAAAATTCGTTTTATAAGGCTCATAAAATTGCGCTTTTTATCTGTTAATTGAAAAGGAAAAAATGTGAAATCTCAAGTATGAAGAAGGCAATTCAGGTTGGGGGCCAAAACCACTGCTTTCCAAAACATATTAGCTGATCTCTTTTTGCATCAACATTAACTATGTATTACTGTAAAGCACTTTCAGTATTTGCTTGAGAAATTATTTTGTATAAATGCAATATATTTTACTATTACTAGAATAATTAATTAAAGAAATAGACCTTATTTATTTAACAGGTAAACACGAGCAGAATAATCCGTTTCCTGAAGCTTTTCATTTAAATTAGCCAATACAGACGATTAACAGCACATAAATTACTTACTCTAAGGTTGTTTTGGAATCTAAGTTGTCGGGAACAATATAACCAAATGATACATCCTGAAAATATTCTAGTTTTTCGTTTATTCCTTCTTCTACTTTCCTATCAATACAGTCAAATCATTTTTGGTGGACTAGATTTTCTCCAACCCCTGCTATTCTAACTTACAACATAAAATATCATCCTGGAAATGCTGTCTTTTTTTAGTTATGAAATGCTCTTAGATTGGCTTTGTGATAAAATTCTATACAATTTCACTTCTATTGAAAGTTCAAATAGAAACAAAACATGAAAGTCAGTTCTGCAACACACGCAAAAGAACAGTAATTTCTTCTGAGCAAAAGGTGACAGTGCACAGCATATACAAAAGTACAGTCATTCAAAATCAAAAGTGACACCATAAAGGCTGACTTTATAACTTTTCCATCAATTACCTTGTGGGTCAACATGTGTGTCTCCAGTAGCTGTGCTGTAGCAAACTTCTCACTGCACTGAGAGCATGTGTGTAGTGGAGCCTCTCCATGGTAACACGGCTTACACACATAATATGTGCGGCCGCTAGAGTTGAGCTTAGAGACCAGGTTCTCCTTAGATTCAAAACTTTTTAAGCAAACACAGCAGGTGAAGAAAGATGGGCGTGTCTGGAAATGGTGACGGCCATGCATTTGAAGTTCTACCAGGGAAGACAAAGTCTGTTGGCAAAAAGTCAGAGAAGGACAATGGACCACAATTCCTCATTCATAACAATTTTAACATGTTCATGAATTTATTGTACCTCTGTGTGGATCATACTGAATTGCAATAGAGCACTCATCAGCATCATCATTGCTTTTCTCACTTTGCATTAGGGTATAGGCCACAAACAAACACTTAACACTTTTTCCTATCTTGGGGTTGAACATTATTTCATATGTCTTCACACATTTTTCTGTGACTCTTCTCCACGTTCCACATGGCCTTTTTCCTTGATACAGAACATTACATTACCGTATGATTACGTTAAATGCCTCATAAAGTTGATTTCCTTAACCAACAAAAAGGTTTGGTTTGAGATTCTAGAACAGATTCATGTCATTATGTAAATAAACAAAGGTAAACCTGATTTCTCTATGCATAGCAACCTTATAATGACTTCAGTCTCTCACTGTTAACTTCTCCTTAACCAAACAAAACCCCCCAAATGGATAGTGAGAACTCTCTTCAGTTTTAATCCAGTCTAAGATAAATGATGTTCAATACTACGGTATTCCCCAGTTAATAGTCTGCAAGACAAAAAACTGGCATGGGGCAGAAAGGCAAAAGACAGCAGGCAAAATTTGGTCCTCTGACAATACTGGCCATTTTTTAAACACCAGGATTCACTAACCAATGGAACCTCTAGCATCATTGCAGTATACAAAAAAAGAAAAAAGCGACACATTACCTGGCGACACACAACACACTGCAGAAGGGATCCCTCAAAGCCGTGCTCCTGAGCGTGTATGTAAAACTGCTCCTGACTGGTGAGGGCGACTCGACACACTACACACGTGTTTCCCTGGTGGATCTTACAGTGCGTTAGCTTATGTTCAGCTAACACACTGGGTGACACAAATGTCTCATCACAGATACTGCAAGTCAGGTTTCCCGAGTTGACGTGAATCTTCATGTGTTTGTTATACTCCAGGCTTGTCTTGAATGTCTGGCTGCAGAACATGCAGGAGAAGTGAGACGTCGGGGAGGGTAAGGCGAGAGAGGTGCTGGCTGAGCTTGTGACCTCTGATGACACTGGACTGGTCAGCGCAGATAGCAAAGTCTGGTTGTTCAACAGCAACTTTTCATGGCTCGTCTAAAAAGGAAAACAAAAGAAGTAAGGTACAAAATTTCAGATTTGCAAGGAATATGTTCAATTGTTGTATGCATTCTTACTTTCATATTCTGTTCCACTGTCAATATAGTTTTTTTCAGTTTTGTAGAAGGATATTTTCTTCTTTGATGAGACTAGACGGATACTTGTGATAAATCAATCTTCTTAACTTGCCCAATCTTGCTTGCACTATACCAAACAATTTTCAAGAACAGAACAGAGGAGAGTACAATGGGCATTCAAAAAAATCAATTAAGAATCCATAAACGAAAAATTTCAGGATCACAATTACCTTTCAAAAATCGGACAAGACACCCCCCCACAACAACAAAAATTCAAATGACATCTCTACCTTTTGATCTGCATCATTCTCAGTGCACCCAGTTTTCCCTGCAGACTTGAGGCCGTGATCCTCTGCTTTGTGAATGTTCAGCAGCACCAGATCGCTGAACTTGACATCACAGATGTTACACATGTGCAGAGGCTCTGTGCTCTTCCAGATGGAGGAGACAGGGGTATTGGAGATGGGTGAGGGGAGGGGGAGGGGCGACGGTACTGGCGTGTTTGCCAAGACCGAGGTGTACTGCCTGTGTGGAGAAGGTGCCGATGGGGATTTGAGGATGATACGGGGAGAACATGACGACGAAGATGATGATGAAGAAGATGAGGAAGGGATAGAGTTGTATGAGGAGACAGGTTCTATGTTTTCTTGTTTTACAACGACATCCCTAGCTGGAGACACTGATAAGCCGTGGTGCTTCTGCTTTCTGGGGCTTGATTTCTGGAACAACATAAAGAATATAATCAGTAAAACTAACTGTTGAGGTCACAAAGAATTTTTCAAAATCAGAGTATTCAAAGTCAGACCACAACTTCGAGTCAAACACCTCAAGCCAATTTTCCTGACAAACTGTCTATGGAGTCTTACTGTAAAAAGTATACATAGTAAAATACTGGAATCAGAAAGAACATTACCTATTTCCAAAACTACAACTTATCACATGGAAGTGTAAAATTTGTCATTTGAGCAAGGAATTAATTCATTTTGCTTTTCCTGGGATTATTTTGTTTTTCCTCCTGTCTCATCACTTTGTACTTTCACATCCAAATGACGTACTTTGTAGCTTGTGAAGCTTTCTTTGACCGATTCGCTACATAATTTTTCTACCAGCCTGGGCGTGAAATGTCTTCGGCTAGAAGGTACCTGTTTAGTTTATACATTTAGTTTTTGTCTCCCGATTTACCTATTTGTTTTGCAAAATATAACCTATTATTTAGCCTATCAGAAGAAAATAAATTAAAACAGAATTTTGAAAAAAAAAAGAAGTTTAACAAAAACGCTGATATTACTTTCAAAAGTTATGGACTGGAATAGCATAAATATTTATAGAGGCACATAGTGGAGCCAAGGAAACAGCTTGTGGTAGAGATTAGGAAAATGTTGAGCCAAGTAGTCGGTTCATCATAGTGAATGAAATAACTTTGTTTCTACCCACCCCCACCCCCCTCATCCCCATCCAGCTGACCTGTGCCATGTCAGGCTTGATGTCAGTGTGACAGCTCTGCATGTGTTGGTCAAGCAGGTACTCAATGTGGAAGGCCTGGTCACACATGGGACAGGTGAACTGTTTGCTGTGGGTGGTCAGGTGGCACTGGAGCTCCACCTATGGAGAGAATCATGACATGTGTACACAGAGCAAGAAAGAAGGAGGATGTGTTATGGTTCACTAAAGCATGAGGATCGAAAGAATGTCTTGCAGGCTTCATTTCATTCTGTAAAAGACTTTGTTTTACCATTTGTACTTGAACGTTCTCTTCTTTTTTAAAATTAGAATATAAGTTTTCGAGAAGAGCAAAGCATTCACTTTTATTTGCACTTTCTGCTCAGTCTGATTAAAATGATATTGAATTTTATTCTAAATGAAATCTACATGTACATTAGCAATAGATTCATTTGTATAAATTCGTTTCAATAGAAATATCTTTGACCCACCAACATGAACATGAGTAAATGGGATGCCACTCTCAATTTCAAGGTTTATCATTGCAACCTCTTTTCAATGCAAAATCTTCAAGACCATCTTATCATTCCTTCATCCCTTCTCACCTCACTAGTGAAAGATTCCTGGCAGAACAGACATCTGTATGGCCTAGACATGTGCAGGTGATTCACCCTCACATGGACCTGCCACTCCATCTCGGAGCGGAACATGATGTCACAGGACACACACTTGTACAGTTTACACTCATTGCTGTGCTTGATGGCAAAGTGAACCTAGAGAGAGAAGAAATGCAATGAAAATCGTTCATCACAGATGGATATACTTCATCAAATTAAGATCCAGAGTTCTCATCTAATGAGCAGGTGCTTGGGAATAAAACCATTAAAAAAACATCTGCAAAACTTTGTGTTTGCCTTTTCGTAAAGTGATAAGTCACCTAATTACTTGACCTGTCTGGATCATAGCTGCTGTCTAAAAATGTAAAAATAATAAAACCAAGCACGCCAACAATATGGTTGCAATAATTTCATTTCTTCAACACATCTCCCTTTAAAAATGAAAGGAACGTGTAGTTACTTCTGATCAACAAAAAGTCATTCTTTTCAACTCTAGAATGGTCTGTGTGACATGCAGTGTGTTCATATGTTCATTTCTGAAGAAGTAATCATGATGTATTTTTGAAAAAATATAAAATTTAGAAAAGCATCATTGATTTCAAAATATCTGTGAGAAATGCAAAATTGACAATCTCTTCACGAATATTTGCATCCAGTTCCACCTTGGTGACAACTTGCGAAAAAAAAAGAGAACGACAAAATATTATGCAGGGGATGAAAGCCTTAAAGGAATGATTCATACATCCCATAGCCATCTGTATATGGCACATCTCATTTTTGCTACTATTGAAATAAAAGGACAAAACTATTTCAATAAACTATTTATCATCTAATAATGGTAAAAACTTGCCATGCATGTTTCTTTTATGACTGCCTGCGCATTTTGTTTTGATTTTACCAAGAGATTGATATAGTACCACCAAAGAAAATAAAGGCCAGTTGCATTTTGACCCAACTCTGAGTTGTACCAATTTGTTGGCACAGTGACAATGTAGGCCTATGAGTATTATTGTTACGTTGGAATCAGACAAAACAATTTACCTGTATGTTCACTTTGGAATCAAAGATGTCTTTACACAATGAGCAGCGGTACAGGTGATGCGCGTGAATGTCCATCAGGTGTTTCTGTAACTCATCAGGCTTTGAAAAGTTTTTGACGCAGTTGCTGCATCCATACTCTGTGCTGACACACAGATAGTGCAGTGAGGCGTGTGCTTCCAGCTGCTCCTCCGTGCTGAAACTTGCCCCACACTTGAAACACTCATGTACCTTGCTGGCTGCAGACTGGCCTGTTGGTGTTAGCAGTTACAGCATCAATACAACATTATATTCTGTAAACAATCAGTTCAAAGTTTTTACAAAAGCTGCTACAACAACAAAAATTTTCTTTTCATTAAAAAAATTGCTTTTCAAATTTTGCCATTACCCTTTAACAAAAAGCTGCTCTTTTCAGTTAATTGTTCTTAAAGTCAACACCCTTCAAATACAACTGAGACAAGCGGTGCAATAATTATTAACATAATGGAATGGTTTTCAAAAATCTTTATAAACTCAGCTCAGCAAGTTGCCTTAAATAATCATGTCAATCGTTGTTGTCAACACAGAATGATTTAAATCAGTTGTCTAAGATTTTGAAATCCTCCTTACTTTGATTGCTCCCGCCATTCACCTCCGACTCCTCCTTCAGTTTCGGCGGTTCACACGCACCATTTGCAAGAAGAGACAAACTAAGTGATGCCTCAGCATGTAGAGCCATGTGGCTGTCATAAGATTGCTGGTCATGAAATGAGATGTTGCACTGATCACACTTAATATCACCTGAGGATTAACAAAGAAACTAGACTGATTATATTATAATAATTAATAATAGAAGAGTATTTATATAGCGCATATCTCTGCTAAACAAAAAAGTTTTCTGTACTTTATAACCTATATTATTACCCAAGCAGACCCTAGAATACTCAGAAACATTTTCAGCTTTCTGGGAAGGATACAGCACAAGCAACGAATACAGCACTCCTCCAACAACAACAAACTCACAAGATCTTTCACGGCCTATAACCATGTTTCCATTCCCATCTGGGTGAAGATAAAATTATTAGTAAAATGTGGCTTTAGGAGTGCATGTTACAAGTTCATCAGTGCCCAAGCATTTTAAAGCACCAATAATCGAAACTAATTAAATGAATCAAAGTATTATAATAACTTGAAAAAGAGATCCGAGTACAATCAAATCTGCTCTGATGACCACCTGTCCAAGACAATCAGCTGTACAAACAATGACTTGCCATTTGCTCCCCTCTCCCTCCTTTTGCATTTTTGAATATTATAATGCCATTGCCCAAAAGAACCACTGGTCTAAGATGACAACTTTTCTCTTCTACTTCTACCATGGGTGGTCGTCTTGGACAGGTCATGTGTATTCCTTCGCTTGGATACACCATAAAAGACAAATATAGCACTCAAGAATTTTTTTTCACAAAAGGAAAAAACTGCTCAACATGTTAGCCTACCTCTTAGCCTCTTAGCTAAACCATACTCAAAACATTACACCTAACTTTGATAGACTGTAAAACTTATCTTAAAGTATTATAAATATAACCATGACAGTTTTTTTAAAAAGCATCGACATGGAAAAGACAAAACTGGAATAATGTGCAACAAACCTGGTGAAATACTTTTACGTCTGTCCACAGCATTAGTCAAGTCCAAGATCCTCCCAGCTGATGAAGTCTTAGGATATTTTGCTTTTGGTTGGCCATCATCAGCCATCAAGAAAGAAGGTAAAGATTTTGTTGCACCTGAACTTTTTGAAGCACCCCTTGATCCATTCTCCAGTGATGAACGAGAAGAAGCAGTTGATCCATCTTTGCTAGACTTACCAGAGGACTTCTTCCCCTTGCCTTTCAAAGCTTTCCTGTCCATCACAATGTTATGGACTGTAATCATGTGATCCTCCAAGGTTCGTGGACTTGCGAGTGTCATATTGCACCTGAATGATATTCACAACAGTACACAGGGAACAGTCAGACAAAATTTATGGAGAAGGAAATGCTAAACAGCACTTCACACAACAAAAATTAAAACTTCTGACAGTGGTTGAAAAGTGTATGGTTAACACGCAACCCAATTGATGTCACTCATTTGCACATATAGCTCTAAGACACTTCTGAAATAACAGAAAAATACTTTAACAATTCTGGTACAATGCTAACTACTGCTTTTATTTAAACGATTGTTACTACCTTCAGTTACTGACTTATATTTGCTCTTTATTTTTGGCAAGTCAAAAGTCTATCATTTACATTTCACTATCTGTTATAAGCGGAATCATAATCCTAACAACACAGTGTTCATTTTACTTTTTTCATCAACAAGAGTTACTGTGCCGGCTATTATAAAAAATTCTTTAGCCCTAAACAATAAGTTGCAGAACATTCCAATATGTTATCTGAGAGCAGAGTGGGAAACTATTTTTGTGTTGCACAAAGTGTTATCTAGATTTTGGAAAACAAAAACTACTTTCGTGCTTATCTTATTGCAATGACACACATTCTAAAACTTACCTGTTACAAAAAGCAGCATCTATGCCATTAGAGCGCTGCTGTGCATGTACAATGCCCTTGTGTTTGGCCAGAGCATCTAGACTGTGAAATCTCTGTACACACATGCTACATGGGTACGTGATATCCAGACCGTGTTGACTCCGATGGACAACTGTCATGTGATCATGGAGGCTGAAATTTAGGACAGATGATGTTGCAGGAAAAAAATATTGAAAACAATAGCACAATGATTACATAACTTTTGTTTATTTGGTCAATACTGTACAGAGAGAAGTACTATAAGTACCATTTTTTTTTAAATAGGCAATTTGGTTAGACATTTCATAGAGTATTACTTCACTGGTCTTTATAAATGAATTTTTCTTTCGATATTTAGGTCGGAAAATAATTTGTAAGTACTTTCATTTCTGTTATAACAGTACATACTCCTGCTTCAGCTCAATTCAGAAGCAATCACATTAATATGCTGCAAAAAACAACAAATGTATGCATGTCAATGTAATCACACAATTGTCAAAAAAATTATTTCTACACACACAAGCACACACACACATACAAGCACACACACACACACACACACACACACA